CTTTTAAAAGAACTGATCTGTGCTTACCAGTTCTTTGATAGGAACTGATCTGTCCAACCAGTTCTTTGATAAGAACTGATCTGTCCAACCAGTTCTTTGAAAGGAACTGGTCTGTTCAACCAGTTCTTTGATAGGAACTGATCTGTTCAACCAGTTCTTTGATAGGAACTGATCTGTTCAACCAGTTCTTTGATAGGAACTGATCTGTACCTACCAGTTCTTTGATAGGAACTGATCTGTCTAGCCAGTTCTTTGATAGGAACTGATCTGTGCCTACCAGTTCTTTGAAAGGAACTGATCTGTCCAACCAGTTCTTTGATAGGAACTGATCTGTTCAACCAGTTCTTTGATAGAAACTGATCTGTAACTAGGGGTGGGAAGTTACCGTTCCCACACCGTTCCTGGGAACGGTAGCGATAACGAAAAAGTTCCCAGTCACCGGGAACGGTAACGCCCCGTTCGCAGTTACTCGAGAACGCAGGTAACGGTCAGGGGACTACCTAGCATCATCAATCTCATAGCCTTGGTCCTCACGAACAACGATTGGGGGTACCCTTGTGTCGAAAAGCCCCACTATTGGAGATACCGTTGGGTCCTCAAATGCTAGTATTAGCAAATACCTTTGGCTCATCAAGTGCTCGTATAGCTGGGTACACTCAGCCCAACCAGTGCAACTATTACGTGGTACTGTGCGTTCAACCAATGCAAAATTTGCACAAAACCGTTGTGCCGTCAGGACTAATTGCCAGGAATCGGATATCCTTGGCCCAGCCACCACAAAAAGTGGCGCGGTAATGTGGGCCCAACCTATGCAAATTTTGCGCCGACCTTCATGCCATCAGGTTCAATTGCCAGGAAGGAGGGTAGCCTTGGTCCAACCACTGCCAGAGTAATGCGGCAGCCTTTGCCCAAACAGTGCAAGTGTCGCGTGGTACCCTTGCCCCAACAATTACTGGTGTTGCTAGTATCCTTGGCCCCTGAAGTCTTACTATTGGGGGGCACCCTGACGTCCTGAAGTCAAAGTATTGGGAGGTACTTTTCGGCCCTCCAGGAGGACCCGAGTATACCCGTAATGCTAGCACTTGGTGGACCAAGGGTAACCCCGAAACGTAACGGTAACTTCCCACCCCTAGGTGTGAATGCTGAGAGAAGACTAATACGCACACACACCAACACCCAACCCAATCCACACAAAACCCATCCCAAACCCACACCCAGTTCTCGAAAGAGAACTGGTCACTTTACCCAGTTCTTGAAAAAGAACTGGTCGCTTGGCCCAGTTCTTGAAAAAGAACTGGTCACTTTACCCAGTTCTTGGAAAAGAACTGATCACTTTTACCCAGTTCTTCAAAAAGAACTGGTCACAATAAGCAGTTCTCGAAAAAGAACTCATCACTTTATCCAGTTCTCGAAAAAGAACTGATCGCTTTATCCAGTTCTTGAAAAAAGAACTGGTCACAATAAGCAGTTCTCGAAAAAGAACTGGTCACGGTAGTCAGTTCTTGAAAAAGAACCGGACGCTTAATCCAGTTCTTCGAAAAAGAACTGGTTGCAATAACCAGTTCTCGAAAAAGAACTGTCGGGTGTGTACAGTTCTTAGAAAAGAACTGCCGGGCGCACACAGTTCTCGTCAAAGAGCTGGTCACTTTAACCAGTTCTGGAAAAAGAACTGGTCACTATACCCAGTTCTTCGAAAATATACAGTTCATAGAACTGGGAACTGTCCTAGGTCTATTAATAATAATAATGATGCACCTTCAAGAATTTCTTCATGTGTTATATGAGAACATGGATCAAGTTCAAATATAAGTACATGATTTATTCCATATGATGACCAACCAATTATATTAATACGAATTAATATTAGATGAATAATAAAAATAAGTGATGAGCGATAAAGAATAATAGCTGTTTGCGAATCGATTGGTTTTCTATGTTTTGTTGTTTCATATGAATAACGTGTTAACATATGAATTACAAATAAATTAATTAATAAAACAATAAAAAGACCGTTTAATAAACCTGAAAAGTAATATGAGCTTGACGTTATGCTAAACGATATCATTCAAAAAAAAAATACTTCTGAGTAAACAAAGTCTTTAGAATAAAAAATAAGTTTCAAAAAATTATAGATTTAAAAAACTCTACTGTATTGTCTGACAGTCACGTAAGAAGGATTTGATTTTTACTTTATGATTTATAATATTATATTAACACATTCGGGGCGATGGGGCTCACCGGTGGGTCCCAGTCAATTTTGACAAAAAACTTGGTAGAGAGGGACTTTCTTTCTCTTTTTCTTCGACAGAAAATTTATTTCTTATGTGTCATCCGCTTTGCTTTTGCTTTCTTGAAAATCATTCGTTACATAGCGTGATGTTTCTCGTTAAAACAATCAGGAGAAAAAAATTTGTCGCAATCAGAACAGAAGGTTTTTTTTTTCTTTGCTATCACATGGCTCGCTTCTCTTGATCGTTGTTTCCTGTCGAGTGGCTTGTTGGTTGTTATCTCGAACCAAGTGTCAGCTTCTCGAATGACATATCAACGATTAAAGATCGTAAAAGACTTTTATGAAACGGCAGAATGATTAAGCCGTTTTGGTATAGTGTTCCTTGTAAATCAAATAGCTGGTATCGATTAGCTTCGCGAACCATGAGGCTAATAATTTCATCAGTGATAAAATATCAATAGCAATCAATAGGATTGATTGCATTATCTTCCGATCTTGGCGTTACTTCTTCGACGATTCTATGATCCATCTGTACCTCAGCATCCGATTCTGATTCTATTTCATACCAGACTTGTAAATCCATGTCGTCATCGGCAATTTCTTCCTTGAAGTTTGAAGATTCAAACTGCATTCTAGAAAAATCATCATCCAAAGCGTCCACATCACTAGGTGAATTACCGCTGTCTTCTATATCAGTTTCTTCAAACGATATGTAAATCATCACAAAATTTCAGTTGTTTTTTATGCAACCCAGAGGAAAGAATCAAAGATAATGCTACAAAAAGAATGCAAAAGAAAAAATATCGAAACGTTATTTCGATTATCTCGTTCCTACTGCACAATTCATAAGGAAAAGAACAGTAAACTTAAGTAATTATTCAGTTCGATATGGAAGACCACCTATGTGATAGTACAAATAAGAAAAAGAAGAGCTTATAACACATACTAGAAAGGCAAATTAGTCCATTTATCAGAAGATGAATCCATATGAAAATGAATTTGTTAAAGCTATTTTTTTTTGAGAAAATCGAATCGCCATGAATGTATTAATCTGGGAATATACTGGTTTTTGAGTATAAAGTTTTATTAAGTTCACAATACCAATTACTACAATGTCCCTTGGAATAGACATTCGGCTTTTAAGGTTTAAGTGACTAAAAAAATGAATGAATATCTTATGTCGAGACTTTTCACGCCATAGCTTATTTTGATATCATCACATTTCTTACCAAGACTATAAGTAACAATTCCTTTATGAATATGAGTTAAAGGTGGTACACGTAATTTTTGCATGGCTTTTTTTCTATTTACATTTTCTAAATGATCAGTAACTAATATTTCAACTTCATCAATTAAATTTGATACTTGTTGATTACTAACAAATGGTGATGAATCAATATTTGTTTTAAACCATTCAATACCATTTATTTTATGAAATAATTTATCATGTTTAGTTAAAATTTTTTTAAAACCCATATAATTTAATGTTTGATAATTTTGTAAAAGTACTAATAATAAATAAAGTTCACTAAATGCTAATTTTAAATCATTAATATGATTATAATTTGAACGAAGAATTTTTCTATATTGTCGTCTTCGTCGAATTATTGTTTGTTCAGATTCATTAATTGTTAAATGTTTTTTAAAATATTTTAATTCTGTACGAAGTTGTTCAAAACGACGAATACTTTCAGATAATTTTTCACCGAAAAAAACATTAATTTTAAAAAGTTCTTTATTACAATAAGCAAAAAAACGTTCATCAATACGTGAAAAATAACGATTACGAGTTGTTTCAGCATGAGATGGAGCACGATCAACAGCAGCATAAAGTATAGCAACCATAGCTTCATATTGAAGATATTGAGAACGCCATTCTGGTGTAAGATGAGCAGCTAAATGAGCACCGAATTTTATACCGAATAAATCACGACCCATTGAATGATAATTAAGTCGTCTAGAGTTCTCGTTTATTTTTTTTGCGCTCTTGATTATTATCAAACTTTTTTTTTTTTTTATTTAGAAAGGAACAAAGAATTTATAAGTAAGATAAATTATATTATTATGAAATCAATGTTTATTTATTTATTTATTTATTTATTTTTTCTGTCAGTCTTGTCGAAGTGGTGGATATTTAACATTTTTATGCTCATCTAAAATCATACGAACGACACCACTTTTGATTGTTACAAATGATTCTGGTGTACCATCATCGACTACTTCAATATTTTGTTCACCTAATAATTAATAAGAAGAAAAACAATATATTCAATATTTGGTGCTTTTAATTTTCTTTCTACCAACTTGTCTGATTACTTTAACTGCTTCTTCTTTCGATTTACCAACAAGATCATCCTAACGTTTTCGTAAATCACAACACCCACCACTCATTTCTACTATAAAA